CTAGCTAGCTCATCAGCACCCATGCATGCATGCAGGTCAGGGTACATGACAGTACATAACAACAAATAGGAACGGCCCAAATTTTTACTGATAACGAGTATACGAGTATTAAGAGAAAATACTGAATCATATAAAGAAGAAAGATATTGCCGTAATTCTATTCTACTTCTAGGAACTGTTTCAGAAGTAAACGGTAATGAGTAACTTGCCCGATGAGGTATTCAGTTTTGGAACCTTGGCTGTTGTCTGAAGGGATTTCAACAATTGATCGAAATTCTGGTCTCTAAAAAAACACCTCGAGAAAACTACCTTTCCGAGCGCTTTCGAAAACACAACAATATTGGGGTAACATAACTTACCTATTAAGGAAAATCTCTCTATCTTTGGCTTCATGAGATGGCTGAGGATTAGCAAACAATGATGTCATGTCAAAGAAGTCGAAAGCGAAAACTAAATGATAAAATGGAAAAGTATGAACTATGTAGAAAAACTGAGACACTCCAGCTCTCTGCTAGGCCGATGTCAGACTTTGCGAATCGCGCGATTCGCTAGCGTCTGCGGTCGCGTCGCGGCCAGTGAATCACTCAATTGGCTGGTACCGCAACGCGACCGCGGACGCTAGCGAATCGCGCGAATAGTAGCGAATCGCGCGATTCGCAAAGTCTGACATCGGCCCTATGAAGACCTTGCGAGCAAAAGCACTCAGTAATGAGAGAGAAAATGATTCATACCTTGACGGCAGTAAAGACTAGACGGACCAGGTTCCTGGTTCCTTTTCAATGTGGACGATGTATGTTCTACTGGAGCTATATGAGCCACACGAGTGATTAAGACGATGCGCCTTCCAATATCAGACTGATTGAAATTCTTAAAAAAATCAACTTCAAAAAGGAGACCGACTGCGAGCACTTGTGGAAACCTACCGCAAACAACCCACTAATGCTGAGATCTCGCGAATTCGTTTCGTTACATTTCCAAATGAACGTGAAGGTATCGCTAAAGAACCACTGTCAACGTAATGAAGGAAACGGTTGAAGAAGAAATACTTATAAACAAGTAAATAAAGAATGCTTCAAGAACAGGTTTCCCCAACCTGACATGCCGTTTGTTTTCGAAATCGTAGAGCACCATACTAAATTCACAATTATGTTTCATTTGTAGTTCTATGCTTTGGACCCGTAATAACACGCAGAACGCTTTCGAAGACTTTTCCGGTGCATCGGCCTGAAATGCGTTACGATCACTGTCAAAATATGAAACAGAGCATCAAGAGCAATGAGTCATCCGCGAATGAACTACGGAAATTACACAGAAGAGCCACCTTTGACGAATCAAGTGCGACACGCTTCTGAGCATTTTGATGTTCCGTATAGGTCTGTAGGAAGGAAATCGAATCCGGATCAAACGCCAGGCCACGCTCGTCTCGAATAGTTACATTTAAGCTGAGCAACCTGCAGAATAGGATGAGATATAACTACGGGTGGTTCTACCACTGGTTTCAAAGGTTCAAAAAATGAACACCCAGCCGCAAACAACAGTTTTAAAGAAACAACTAGTATGGCTCACATGTTCCCACGATCGATCTTTTTAGCGAGTTGAATTCGCAAGAAATTGAGCTCTTCCGAGGGTACACGATCTGTTATCAAAATTATAGAAAATCAAAAAGAAAGATGAAAGAATTAAAGAACGAAGTTTACAAACCTGAGAGAATCCTCAACCTCACAAACAGCATGTAATCTATAAAATCAAGCACTTCATGAAAATAGTGCATCTCCGAGTGCTTCACGTAGATCTCCTAGAACAAGCTAGACGTAAAACTGGTAAAACTTACTACAGAGAAACATAAACGATAAAAAGTTTACTGATTCATGGACAGCTAACCTTGATTTTTCTCCACCATGTCTGTGTGACTTGACTGATTTCCTCAACGATATTAGCGCCTTCTGCAGTGGGATCAGTTTGTGAGCGCCTATTCACAAACATGACCGCAGTGAGAGGGAACAGCCCTGCATCTGTCCTGCACCCAATCCGTGATCCTACGGCCCATCCTAAAACTCAGTTTCAGTCAAGAATATAAGGTATCTACCGTACAAGGAGAACAAATCAGCTCTCTCAAACGATGTCAAAGCAAAGCTTCATATGAATTCTTAATCAAAAGTTGAAGCACAGACACAGCGAACCTCTCAGCCGCTTGGAACACCACGATCTAGTAGCGCTCGAGAAAGCGAACTTCTTGACACAATTATTTTAACCAACTTTCCTTGATTTATTCTCGAAATTACACGCCGACCCTACGATTCCGCTGTTTACAAGTGGAGATTCAAATAAAATCTTCACAACCACCAATCCCTCCTGCAAGCCCATGTCATCGACAACTGTGTGGTAACTATTTTAAGCATCCTAAGTTCCTAACCTGCTGAGGTACAGTAGAATGCAGTACCCGTAGAGCTCATTTCAACACATCTCGATAAGATATAACAGGAGTGTCACTTTCTCACCGTCTTTCTCAGCAAATACAGAAATTCGATCTCCAGCGATGAGATTTAGAAAACAACATGGTGCTTTCTTGACGGCAGCATTCTCAATCAACTCTTCGTTGGCAACGAAACTCGAGATTGCTGGAAAAAATCCAATTAACTGGAGAAAAGTCGTGAGAGAGATTACCAAATACCAAACAACTAGGCCAAAATAATAATGCAGATATTACCTATTGCATATCGGACCTTCATCTCTCACGAGACTTCTTGTGTGTACTAAGCCGACATGTTGGCAACCAAGGACATTATAATCCTCAATCGATGTTCACCGAATGCGACTCGACAGCAAGACGAAGAGGAAAAACTATGACTGATCGTCCGCGCGGTTTTGATTCTTAAGAAGTCTGTAATTACACAGCAAACACTAAAGATTACGTCTCGGCGGTAGGGCATTATTTTCAAACTTTGTCGAGCTTAGCCGTACCCTTTCGGATATCCTAGTGCTCGTTCGCTTGGCTGGTGATATAAGAATGAAGGT